GCCAGAAACAACTTCTGACTGGAAGGCAAAGTCAGTAAATTAACACAAATGTGCCAAGATCCAACAAGTAATAGTCTCCAGTCTTGTAAGTTCCACCAACCATAGAAACTGAAGCAGTCAACTGTTGTTGGGATGTGCATTTAATGTTTTTCACACAGATTTGAAGATGGATAGGAAAACACCACAAACATTGAGTTACACATTCTGAGGCTTTCGCAATGTTGGTACAATGCTAAATGTTCTCACTGCAATAAGGATGCTGCTGTGATAATGGAAGGGAGTGGCAGTGAAAATAAAAAGAAAATTACATTTGTCCCCCTTTGATGGCTCAAGTTTTGAGAATATGACTGGTGATATAAATGAGGAGCTATTGACTCCATTAATGGGAACACCACCACTGATGAATTCATCTCCAAGTCACACAATATCCTGACTTGGAATTGTATCATTGTTCCTTCACTATCACTGGGTCAAACCCTGAGGTGAACTCCTCAGGGAATTCCTGGTCCAATGTTGATATCATTTTGGTCAAATCTTAACAAAGTGTCTCTGAACGTTTGTGTTTGACAAATTCTGAACTCTTATTACTCTCTATTTCTATTTTGATGCTGAACTTCTTACTTCTTTACTTTTCTATTCTTTTCCTGTAAGAATTTGCACTTAAATATCTGTACGTAAGTACCTTGGTACCTAAGGTGGTGCTGTAACCGGTGACTTGTAATCTTTTCACTGTACCCATGTGAGTACATGTGACAATAAAGCTAATTCTAATTCTGTGAACAAATTTTTTTGAGGAGGTAACCAGAAGTGTTGATGACTTCAACAGCAAATGGGCAATAAGGGGAGATATACCTGTTGAGTAAAGCTTGAATGACTTGCTCACTAAACTTCCAATTAGCTAGTTGCTGTTAGAAGTGATCAAGCACTATCGATCAAAATGCTATGCAGCCTCTTTCATGAGTCCTAGCACACAATTCAAGTGGCAACGAGTGCTTTACATCGTCTGGGCAATTGTTCCTAAAAAATATGTTCTTTACCAAGGTGGTATCTTACATGACGCATGAGCTAAACTTGGGTGTTTCAGATTCAAATCTTATTTTGACTCATTAGTGCTTAAAGTGTCAGGAAAAATGTAACCTCAGAATGACTGAATAGCACCAGTTGCCATGAAGGATGTATGCATGTTAACTGGCTACACATTCCCAATAAAATTATGATGTGGAGGAGCCGGTGTTGGACTGGGGTGGATAAGGTCAGAAGTCACACCCCACTAGGTTATGGTTCAACAGGTTTATTTGAAAACACAAGCTTTTGGAGCGTTGCCCCTTCTTCTGGTGAAGGCTGTGTGACTTCTGACCAATAAGAATATAACAGGAATAGCAGTAGGCCATGAAGTCCCTTGAGCCTGCTACACCATCCCATAAGATTATGACTGATATGATCCTGGCCTCAACTCCACCTTCCAGTTTGTTCCCAAAAATCCTTGACTCCCTTTTGGTTTGGGTTTCTGTTTATCTCAGCTTTGAATACATTCAATAACCCAGCATCTAAGCATCCCCAAGCGCGGAATTTCATAAACTTGTGAATCCTCAGCTCCACTTCATCACCACCTTAATTGGATGATCCCTTAGAATGAACTACTGGATGGAATTTTATTGGGATCTGATCAGTGTAGGTTACAGTGAGATTTGTGGCAGAATCAGCCAGGAAGTCCAGTGAGGTGTATCTTAATCTCATGAGCAAGTCATTGCATCTTTATGCAAATACTGAGCAGCAAGGTGATTTTCTCCTCTTTTAAAACATTAATCAAATTAAAAACCCACAAAGTGAGGTATGTTTCTCACTAGGCAGTGGAAAGTTACTAATTTAGGAGGATTATAGATTCTCTATTGCCACAGATGACCTCATTAATATTCAGCTTCCTATCTTAACAAATGAGCCAAACAAGTTAGATATTGAACAATCTCGATATGGAAGTCAGGGCAGTTACCTAATGACTTCAGCTCGCTACTGACTGCAAGGATCCCCCTGTTACTCAATGACAAACAGTATCTTAGGGCACAATGCATGGCTCCACCGCATGCACTCCTCACCCACGGGCCTGGGTATCTGACATTTGCCAACCCCCAGTCCTCACCAATTCATTTGCATGTCACATGGGAAGCACAGACTATCAATGCAGGGCACACAGGCAACCAGCATTGACAGACTGTTGCAAAGACACTTCGTACTCAGGGACAAGTACCCAGCTCATGGGTTGCACGAGGCTCCACCTCAGGGCTGCTCGCTTGCTCTTTGAGTGCTCAGGCACGTAGCACCTACCTGGATGGTGACTGCATCCCTGCCTTGCCAGGCCACACTGTGCCTTGCTGAAATATTGATGTTATATTGACATAATATTAATATATTACCTTTTGTGTAGACCCATAGACTGGCTGCCTCTGGTGCTTCTCAGTAGGATCTGTCAGTAGGTAGGGACATCTTGCTGTATGGCACATTGAGACATCGACCTACAGTATGTGCCAGCTGCCTGCATAGCAAATACATTGCAAGTTTATTCTGCCAAATGGCCACGTTGGAAATTGATTGAGGGCTACTCCTTCACCTAGCCAAGGTGTGTGTGTTCATCATCAGGGGGATCTCCAGTATGGGGTGTGGGCAATGATCCATTCTGCACGGGCAGCATCAGCAGGCAGGGAGTCACATATCATCAGTCAGGGAGCTACACTACAATGGTCAGGGATCAGCTTAGTCATACCTTGAGGCTGTTTGGAGAAGTTGGCCAGAGGTCTGGGACAAATACAGTCCTGTGGGTTCATCTAGAGTTGAGGAGGGTGCAGGGATGTGGGGCATCAGGGGGAATCACTTAAAGAAGAGCTGGGGAGTCAAGGATGATGGGGGGAAAGCCGAAGCATTTGTGGAACTGGGCCCAAGAATAGTGATGGGGGAAGCTCAAGATGTATGTTGGGTACATGGAACAGGACCAGAGGGCCTTATGGGCAGAAGTGTAATATCAAGGCTCAGGAGACAAGAAGGACAGTTGGAGCCAAAGTTCAATGTGGTGAGTAACCATATTTTTTGGGTTGGGATGAATGGGTCAAAATGGGCTGTTGGGGCAGAGAGAGGTAAAAGGAAACATGGAGGCTGTGGGTAGGAAGTAGGGTACCTGGTGACCATGGGGAACCTGGTGCAGATACTGTCCATTGTGAGATGTTCCCCTGCCATCACTTTCCATTTTCAAGACAAGAAATGCATCTGAAACATGGCTAGGGCTATGCCCAAGTTCAATCGCACGTCGATGTGCAGGAGTACAGCATTCACATCTGCTGGATGCTCGGACATTGCAGCAGCAAAATCATGATGCATGCATTTCCAAACACCAGCCATATTTCGTTTGCAATCATTTCTTCATTCATGTGCAATGCATGCAGAGTGGTTAAACAGTGACTAGGATGAGAGAGGGCAGTTGTATGTGTGAGTGAGTCATCCAGGTGCCATGGCAACTTGACTTCATGGTTGCTGAGCCATCATATTGCAGTGAGGGCCAATATTGTATTACCAACACTTGTCTAGGCATACGTGCCTAATTCTGTCTTTGAAATATTGCTCATCTCTGCTTCTGCCTTAATATGTCTGCTGCTGAAACCCTCAATATTTTCTGTTATCTTTGTTGTTCAGCTATTGCACACATTCTCAGCTGGCCTTTCATCTTCCACCTGCCATGAACTTCAAGCTATACAATACTCCTTGGCCAGCATCTAGCACCCAGTCCTGTTCACCCATTGCACCTGTAGTCAAAGATTTAGAATGGCTCCTAGTACACCATCACATCAAATTAAGAGTCCTCATCATTGTGTCCAGATCACTCCACAGCATCACACATCCAATCTCTATCACCGCTTCCAGCTCTGCAATCCTCTGATAATTACATATGCTTCCAGCTCTGGCATCTTTCATTCTCCTCACTCTATCATGGTCATGTCTTTAGTAAGCTAAACTTTTCCAAAATAAGTGTTGGCCATTTCCTATGTCCCTTGGAATGCAGGTTCATAGTTCCTTGAAAGTGGAGTCCCAGGCAGACAGAATAGTGAAGAAGGCATTAGGTATGCTTGCCTTTATTAGTCAGTACATTGAGTATAGGAGTTGGGAGGCTATGTTGCAGCCACTTTTGGAATACTGCATGCAATTCTGGTCTCTCTGCTACTGGAAAGATGTTGTGAAACTTGAAAGGGTTCAGAAAAGATTTACAAGGATGTTACCAGGGTTGGATGGTTTGAGCTGCGGGGAGAGGCTGAATAGGCTGGGGCTATTTTCCTTGGAGCGTTAGAGGCTGAGGGGTAACTTATATAGAGGTTTACTAAATCGTGAGGGGCATGGATAGGATGAATAGCCAAGGTCTTTTCCCCATGGTGGGAAAGGGCGTGAGATTAAGGTGGGAGGGGTAAGATTTAAAAGGGACATAAGTGGCAACTTTTTCATGCAATGGGTGGTGAGTGTATGGAATGAACTACCAGAGGAAGTGGTGGAGGCTGGTACAATTACAACATTCAAAAGGCATCTGGATGGCACATGAATAGGAAGGGTTTAGCGGGATATTGGCCAAATACTGGCAAATAGGACTAGATTAATTGAGGATATCTGGTCGGTGTGGACAAGTTGGACCCAAGGGTCTGTTTCCATGCTGTACATCTCTACGAGAAAGAATAATTTAGAAGATATGCGTGCTCATTGCAGTTTTACAGTAGGTTTAACTGGTCAAAATCTGTTGTTTTCATCCTAAATCCAATTTACCAATAAAGTACATTGTGCTAATCCAGAGCGTGTTCATTGTTACACGAAGGATTAAAGAAAAGAGCTGTTTGAATGTGTATGTTAACGATGGCTTTGGGATTTTGCCTGTCTTGTAACGATCAATTGATTTAATACACAAGAGACTGTTCAGAAGCAGGTAGGCATTAAAGTGAGGCAGGAAATTGATTCTGGTTTTCTTTTTATTGCAGATATTTTCCGGAATACTTCCTCCCGTAACACCCTGCTTCACTGTGCGGTGACTTTGCTGAAAAAACAGGAACAAGGATTGCACATCTTATGGGATGAATTAAAAAGTAGCCAAAATGCTTTTGATTGGGTGCCTTGTCTTTCCAAGCCACATGAAAAAAAATCTGCTAGGTGCAGTATGCTTTCTAGTTGTGCTTCTTTCAAATAAGCTTACCAAAACACACAATTAAGTAGTTTATTTCCTCAAAAACACTCTTTCTCATTCTGGTAATCTGAAATCATATCCATTGCTAAGTCATGGAAGGTATAACCCAATGCTGCATTGAATGTACTTTCACCAAAAGAGGGCAGTATTGCTTTTGTTCTGTGATAAAAGGAAATAGAATTTGCAAACTAAGTTCAGAATAGACTGAATGTCTTAAAAATGTAATTTATTATTCAGATGTTTTCAGTTGTATGATTAATACAAAGTACAGTAAACAAATCAAAACAATGAATTGCAACTTGTCTTTCGAATATTTTGTAAAGGCATTTGATAGTGAAATTTAAAATATATCAGAAATTTGACAGCAGCTACTACAGACTAAAAGTTTATTCATATTTGTGGAAGAAAATCCATCACAACTGTAACCAATTTGATAATGAGTTTGCCCTGATGGCTCAGTGGGTTTTATGTAGTGAGTAGCTGGTCCATATAAATCAGGAATGTCCAATCAATATTTCCTGGTACATACTCGTGTAGTTGAACCCATCTGGGAACGCAATAAGGGGTTCTACAATTGACCTCACTGTTCCTTGTTCAGGAATAGGTGAAATTGGTCATTCCTACTCAATATCTCATCCTGCTGACAATTTACATCTGGCAGAAGTTAAGTAACAGACAACTGTGATGCTCAACACAGTCTAATAGCCTTTCAACAGTACTGTCGAGGCTCATGCACAATCAGATCTTGGGAACAGTTCTGGTGATGGACAAGAGGGTTCGTGGAAGCAGAATTTACTGAGTTCCAGACAGAAGCTTGAAAATTGCAAGTAAAAGTTACTTCCAGGATTAACTTTGCCCCTCAACAGAAAATCCACGATATTTAGAACAACTGCCAGCTTCTGATCATTATTACCTTAGTGAAATTATTTGGATCTCACTATTGTCAAGTTGAATTATCCCCTGATCCTAAACAATGAGATTAAGTACTTTGGATTGAAAACATTTATATCTTAAAATCATGCTGCATATTAACAGAAATAAACAATTCTAAAATGTGCAAAAATGTCCTCTGAAATTGGTCTCTGTAAGTTTAGCCAAATTACAGTAAAGAGTTAGTGCGTCTGCTAAAACAACAGAGTTGAATTTGCAGTTCTTATCTCATAGTGTAATTTCAAAGCCTTTGGCTTTGTGAGGGCACATTACAATTCTTTCTCTCTCAGCCAACTGAAGAGTGTGTGAGTTTCAGAGCATACGTTATAATCACATGTTCACCAGATGACAAATTTATGATTTATAACGTGGATTAAGAAACCACGCGCATTTCTTAACGTAAAACATCTTTATTCCTCAAGCTTAAAGACATGGTAACCTCACCTTTACTGCAATTAGCTGCAAAGCTCTTTCAAAACACCATTATTAATAGATACAATACAATTTCACTGTGTTGTTTTAATGGCTACTTGAATGAAGTCAAAGTAGCAATGCAAATGTCCTGTCTATAGCGAGGTTTATTTTGTCGTAGAACAATTTTATTCCAATCTGTATTGATGTGATGCCAAGGGAAAGCAGATCTCATCCCCATGCATTTGTCAAACCATTTCAACATTTGTAATGAAAAAAGGACCTAAATTTCATGAAATTCTCCCAATCTCCTGCTGTAACTCGGCAGATGAACACATGGTCTTCTTTTTTGTTTATGTAATTTCACCAGTTGTTATGCTGATCCACAGCTGGAATTTCCAGGTGATGGTACAAAAGTTGGCAGCAAACAATGTTGCAGTGATCTCTTTCTAGCCCTACCTCAGGATGATGCTAGAAGAAGCTAGCTGACCTATACAACCTGCACTTTTCTTCATGTGACTCTGGTGATAGTCAAAAAGCACTCCAAACTTAACAGAATATGTATTTTATGTAGCTAATGATTTAATGGAAAGATGCATATGTGTAAGTCAATGTGCAGTTTCTAATGGTTTATTGATGGAACTCTATATATTTATACTTACATTTCCATTCCATTTTTAATACAGATCAATTAAATTTTAGTTTCCTGTGGGACTGACGTGAGCTTCACATAAATACATCATTCTCTTACACATGCAGTTGGAGTTTACTATCTATCTTGAATGAGAAACAAATAAATAGTCACATGTTTAATTTCTGTTAGCAGTCTATTTTTGTCATTAAATAAGTGAGGTTGTTCAGTGATTCTGAAGTTTTAATGTATGAAGCTTTGAACTGAAATGTTTCCTTCTTTCGTAGATTTTAAGATTTGGCCTTGTTTCAATTTTCCGCTTTCATGGTGGAGACAGTTCCACAATTAATAAAAGCATAGAACATAGAACAGCACAGCACAGTACAGGCCCTTCGATCCTTTCTGGTGCTTGTCACTTGGTAGAATATTCCACAGTGAATTTCTGACCCAAGGCTGTTTCAACAGTGGTGAAATATGCCATGCACTTTTAAAACAAAAATCACTCGTGGGTGTCACTGAACGACCCAGCATTTTTCGCCCAGCCCTAGTTGCCGGTGAGGTAGTGATGAGCTGCCTTTTTGAACCACTGCAGTCCATGTCCTGTAGGTAGACTGCACATCATCCAGTCAGACAGCTCCAATTAGAATATGCTGACCTGCAGTCATCCACACACCTGCTTGATTGGATATTTCAGGAGTTTGATTCAACAATATCGAAGGAACAGCAATTTATTCCCAATTCAGGATGATGAGTGGCTTGGAAAAAAGCACTCTGGTAGTTCACAGTATATGAAACTAGGGTGACCTTGACTTTTAAATTTGGGGTCAGTTTCAGTCTGCCTGTAGTGGAAGCCCTGGCTGACTTTAGATAAAGATGAAATGACACTAGGCTGGAAGAGAGTGGCAATTAAGAGGACCTGGCCTAACATCAATCACTTTGCACGCCTTTCCAATGGAGAAGAGCGATTGCAATCAAGGTCACACAGTCAGCAGATTATTTACCACTTGGTCATATTGATCTTGGTTGACCGATAGCACTTTTACATCCCGGTGAGAAAGTCATGTGGTCAAACGTCACTGCTGCATTTTGAGAAGACGTCAGGGCTGAATTGCTGAGCTATCAGAAATGTAGTCTTTCAGATGAGATGGGAAACAAAGATGCTCCCTCACCAGGGACCTGGGTTTGAATACAGCCTTGGATGACTGATTGGTGTTTGCACATTCTCCCCGTGTCTGCTGTTTTCCTTTGAGAGCTTTGGTTTCCTCCCACAGTCCAAAGATGTGCAAATTATATGGATTGGCCATGCTAAATTGCCCCGTAATGTCCAGGGTTATGCAAGCTAGGTGGATTAGCCATGAGAAATGCCGGGTTACAGGGATAGGGTAGGGGGTAGGTCTGGGTGTGACACTCTTTGGAAGGGCGGTGTGGACTCAATGGGCTGAATGGCCTGCTTTCACACTGCAGGGATTCTATGATTTAAATGCATTTCTCTAGGTTGCAATAATAACTAGAGGTTAAAAGAATTTCAATGATTGGGAAAGTTTGGAATGCTCCTGAGGACTGTAAAATGTGCTTCATCAATGTGAGATAGCAAGGTGTAGAACTGGATGAACACAGCAGGCCAAGCAGCATCAGAGGAGCAGGAAGGCTGATGTTTCGGGCTTAGACCCTTCTTCAGAAATGGGGAAGGGGAAGGGGGTTCTGCAATAAATAGAGAGAGAGGGGGAGGCGGATAGAAGATGGATAGAGGAGAAGATAGGTGGAGACGAGACAGACCGGTCAAAGGGGCGGGCATGGAGCCAGTAAAGGTGAGTGTAGGTGGGGAGGTAGGGAGGAGATAGGTCAGTCCAGGGAGGACGGACAGGTCAAGGGGGCAGGATGAGGTTAGTAGGTAGGAGATGGGGATGGGGCGTGAGGTGGAAGGAGGGGATAGGTGGGAGGAAGGACCGGTCCTCCCACCTCAAGCCCCACCCCCATCTCCTACCTACTAACCTCATCCTGCCTCCTTGACCTGTCTGTCCTCCCTGGACTGACCTATCTCCTCCCTACCTCCCCACCTACACTCACCTCTACTGGTTCCATCCCCGCCTCTTTGACCTGTCTGTCTCGTCTCCACCTATCTTCTCCTCTATCCATCTTCTATCCGCCTCCCCCTCTCTCCCTATTTATTTCAGAACCCCCTTCCCCTCCCCCATTTCTGAAGAAGGGTCTAGGCCCGAAACGTCAGCCTTCCTGCTCCTCTGATGCTGCTTGGCCTGCTGTGTTCATCCAGCTCTACACCTTGTTATCTCAGATTCTCCAGCATCTTCAGTTCCTACTATCTCTTCATCAATGTGAGTTCTTTCTGGACAACACTAATCTCATCCATTGCATTCATTTTTCACACATACACACTTACTAGTTTGGCTGACTGAATACTTATCAAAAACAGGATCTGATTGATTATTTTTCCTCTTATTAGCCCAGGATGCTAAAGATTACCATATCATTCCTTTTAGATAATTCAGGACTACGTTGGGTTTGAATCCAGGGCATTGGTGGTGCATATCCCTTACGATATTTAGATTTTACCGTGCTCTCCTTTCACTGTACTCTGTAACTTGTAGCACAAGAAACAAGAATTCTCCCCGGCTATTAAGTGTTTTCCTTTTGTAATCAAAGTCATTTCAAACACAGATGGAAAAAGTTGGATACATTGATGGTTTCTGACTGCACCTAGGCACTGGATTTCTTTATTGAATCAATGTGGAGACCAGCTGTGGAAGTGCAAATAACTGGCAAAGGGATGTAGGACATAAACAGCAAGAAAATTTCAAATAGCAAATTATTTAAAATTTAAACAAAACTTAAAGTTAAAAAACCAAATCACCGTGTTCGGAAAAAAAGTTTTTTCTGCTAGGCTGCCCTCTAAAATGTACGTTTGCAAGTATGTACATCTATATTGCGAGGCACATACAATAGTTCTTTTTTCAATGAATTGTCAGCAAGTTTATTTTCATAAAATATGTTCCTTCAGAATCTGGTTTTCTGTAGATATCTGGGATCATGATGACAAGACAGTATTGTAGTCAAATATTCAGAAGAATTATGTAATCTTAGTAAGGAAACAATTATAACAATGTTTGCTGCACTAATTAAAGATGGATCAAGTGATTTGATGGGGTCTTAAAACAAAATTGTGAAAACTTTATCGCCATCACACTTCAGATGCCACCTTTTAAAATGTCAAAATGCAATAAGGAAAAGAAAAAATGTCCGCACTTTTACTTTCAACTTGGAACTGGAAGTTTGCAAGCATTATCATTCATCTGCTTATTTCCTACATCAAAAGGTAATTGAGTCATAGAGATCTACAGCACAGCAAAAGGCCCTTTGGCCCAAAGAGTCTGAGCTGGTCAAAAACAGTCATGTGACTGTTCTAATCCCATTTTCCAGACTTGGCTCATATCCTCTTATGTCTTGGCATCAATGTTACCACCAGTCTCTGGGAAAGGGTTCCTAATTCGTTGCAATTCTGGACAAAGTACTCCCAAATGTTTCTACTCCTGGATGAGGAAAAGGAAGTGACTTCCTTTCTTAATTCAATTCCTCTCCTAGTTGGTCACAAGAAGGTTAATTTAGAAAGTATCCCTTCGTTCATGGATACCTTTTCCCTTACCAAATCTTTTTATTTTTTAAAAGGAGTCAAATTATCAGTTAAAAGAAAAAGGTCGGATTATTATTATTATTGATTTTGTTGGAATGATTGTCATCATGCAACAAAGTGATTTTCTCACGTATTATACCAGATTTGCTGTATTAATTGGTATCTCGTGGCGATTACCTCATCTGACTTCTGCTCCATCATACCACGTGTGGTTCCCAGAGCAACTCATCACTCACCCAGAGATCCTAGAATTGACTGGCTTGGGTGTTATCTTTAAAAAGCTGTTCGTACACCCGGAAAAGCACTGTCAGTCTGCAACTGCCCTACGTGGTTCCTGACAGTTGTCCCGGACATGGTAGATGAGGGGAAATTGATGCCCCTCTTTACAGGTAGAGACCAGGAGATCCTGCTGAACAAGATGGTAGGATGTCTTCTTCTACAGGGCAAGCAGTAGAGGCCTCAACACCAGACCATGCCAGCCTGGTCCACGGTTGCTACCCAGGTCAGTACACATGTATATTGTGCGGAAGTAGGCCATTCAGCCCATTGAGTCCACACCTCCCTTCTGAAGAGTATTCCACCCAGGCTCATTCACTTACCCTATCCCTGTAACCCTGCACTTCCTATGGCTAATCCACCTAACCTGCACATTTTTGAACTGTGGGAGGAAACCAGAGCACCCTGAGGAAACTCACGCAGGCACAAGGAGAATGTGCAAACTCCACACAGACAGTTGCCTGAGGGTGGAATTGAATCTGAATCCCTGGAGTTGTGAGGCAGCAGTGCTAACCACTGAGCCACCATGCTGCCCTTGTTTCAGTAATTATCTTATTATAATATCAAATTCCTTGTTAGATTTGACATCAGTTACTATCTTGCTATTGAGTATCAATCTTGCCTTTCAGTTAGATGAGGGGTTCATATTGCACTATGGTGCTTGTGCATCTAACTTACATACTTACTGGAGGCCCCATTTCCTGCACCAGTTCAACAAATTTTAGAGAACCCACAGCTCTATCCATTTATTGTATGTTTTATGAAATCTCGCTACATGTGAAGGTTTTGGAAAGGAATGATATGAGAAAGCAGAAAGCAGCATTCAGGAACAGAACTGCACATTCTGTTAAAACAATGGATTTCTTTTAATTTTCCTTCAAGACTCCATCTACTGGCAATAGTACCCATGATGGTAGTTTTAAATGGACAAAGTGTCAATACAATCCTCAATGTGCCAGATCCCATTGCGGGGGTGGGGGTTGATTAGTTCAGTCGCCTGGATGGTAGATTTACAATACACAGTGATGTCAACAGTGTAGGTTCAATTGCTGCACCAGCTGAGATTACCACAAAGGACTTGCCTTCTCAACCTCTCCTCTTGCTTAAGGTATGCTGACCCTCAGGTTAAACCAACATCCTGTCATCTCTCTCCAGTGAGA